CCTCACTGTTAATGGTACCAAGCAGCTCTTGGAGGTACGTTCGATCATTTATTTTGGCACACATGTTCATGTTTAATAAGCCTGAAGGACCTCAGTATTTTGATGTTGGTGTGTATCCCGGCTAATGTGTGTGTGTGTGTGTACGTCCATTTCACTCTCCAGCTAGGACAAACCTGGTCACCACCTGAGAGTAAGTGTGAGCATCACACCTGTATTAAGACCGGTGAGATTTTAGTAACGGTCAGTTCACATATTGTCTGCCCGCCATTCCAGCAGAGCAACTGCCAACCTGTAAGTACACCTCCAACAAATTACTTTACTGTGTCTTTGAGAACTACAGTTAAAACAAAACTTTTTTTGATGCTGTATATTTTCCTCCATAGGACACAATTCAGACTGCAGCAAATGGCTGTTGTAAAATATGTGAGTATGAAATTTTCTTTACTTTTGGGTAGACTGTACTTAAATGAAAAGAAACTAATTGTGTGTTTGTTTAAAAAAGGTGAGACCATTGAGAAGGGCTGCAAGGTACTATCCATGAAAACCCGCGTTACACACAAGAGCTGTCAGTCTTACCAGGAGATCGAAATGCCGTATTGTGAAGGATCCTGCAACACTTTCACCAAGTAAGTATGATATTTCAATCAGGACAAGTGAGACAAGTGAATGATAATTGTATTTAGTATAACATACATGAGATGATTGAATCTTGACAGAAAGTCTAAGCTTAGACTCTACAGGAAGATTTTTGTGATTGAGGGGCGTCTGCCCTGAGTAGCACCAGTCCAGACACTGTTGGTGGTGGGTGATTACTCTCCTGAGGCTGATAAGCTGATAGATAATGAAGTTAATGAATCTGCAAAGACTGGGCGGTATTAGGGAGAGCACATCAACGACAGCGTGAATGTACTGAAGTCAGAGAGAGAGAATAATATTTAAAAAGACAGCAGCAAGATGATAAAAATGCTAGAAATGCAAGTGTATCGCTGTGCTATTGGATAGATGAGAACAGCTGATCTCTCAGTGGACAGTCCCAGTTAATGACAGCAAGGAAATATGCACAAGAGGAGTGAACGTCAGGATGGAAACAGAACTTAACTACAGGCCTATATGCAAAAGAATAGTCTTCCTGACTGAACTTTTGATATATCTTCATTTCTCACAAGTCACAAACTCGTTAATTAATAAATATAAACATGTGAATGTATAATGTGTGCAGATTTTGAGTGCAGCCTCTGCTTCCATCAGGTACTCTGAAGCAGCAGCTTCTATGCTGCATTCTTGCTCCTGCTGTAAAGAGACACGCACCTCCAATCGCACTGTTGACTTGCACTGCTTGAATGGAGATGTGGTTCCCTACACATACACCCATGTGGAGGAGTGTGGCTGTGGGCACACAGACTGCACCAGACCGGCTGGACAACCTGCTCGCAGGAGGCGAAGCTTCACACTGGTGTGATAAAGAAATATGTAACATTAATGGATGTGGGATGTAAATGTTTCTTCCCACATTGTCTTATCAATCATTACATCTCTTACAAAGTAATTACCATTGTAGAGAGATTATTTATCAATTAAAATAAAAATATGCAACTCTGTTTATGTCTCATCTCTTCTATTGTCTTGTTTGTGCCAATCCAGCTTTTATTGTTGTTTTCTTACTGTATCGTAATGGTAAAATACATTTACTGTTAATTTTACACAAACCCAGAAGATAGATTGTATGTGGTTCTTCACAATGAAAGGAAAGTATACCACATATCATTTCATATAAAACACGTTTGGAAAACTGAACAATAGAACTAAATCCAGCAGGATCTTGACTGCTTTTGTTGGAGTAGACAGGATAGAGAGTAGGTACAGAGGGGGAGTTAACCTGAATCAGCCCACACATGTCATCATGAGAGTGCTGTCCAAGGTGCTGAAGTAGCGAGCGGTTGTAGGAACCAAGTGTGCTATCCTCTTGTATCAGAGTAATGTCAGCCTACCAGGGGAAAAAACATATTATTCCACACTAACAGTACATGTTTACTGTACGTTCTTTAACAAGCACACATCTTCATGGCTGCACCATCCTAATAAATGGAAATATTCTAGATATCCTGTGCATCATTTTAGACACATTTACCTAAAATTCAGAATTAAAAGTAGATAAGGTTGTGTGTGTCTGAGAAATGTTTGGGTGCACAGCATGACTTTTTAATGACTGACCCACCACTGAGATCAGTGAGGTGACCTGTGGCAGTTAGAGACAACTCAAGTAACATGACTGATTGGACAAATGTATGACAGAGGTAAAGCAGATGCAGTCCATTTGATTTAATAATAATTAAGTCAAAGTACAAGGCTTACAGGACAATGAAGGGTTAGGCTTCTACAGTAGCCCAGAATGGACAAACCAAACTCTGGCTGTAGTTGTAATCACAATCACACTGCTGGTGTATGTATTTGACGACCTGGGACTGAAAAAGGTTTGTGAAGTGTGACAGGCCCTGTCTACATCCAGTGTTTGGTTTGTCCTGTCTGGGCGACTGTAGAAACATGGCGGTTCAACATGGCGGACTGGAATTTAAGGCCATCCGCGGCATTTGTACAAAAAAACAGGTAACAGAAACACAATGTTTCCTATATTCTGGTGATTCACTGATTTCTTCTGTGATATAAATCAATCAATCAATCAATATAAATCTTTAAGGATAATTTATCAACACTTATCGCCAGCTGTGAACGTTCAAAACGGTGGTATGCTAGTGTCTCTTCTTTAATGTCCAAACAAAAATGGCCATCAGAAGAAGTGATAGGCTTGATTTGTACAATGCATCAAAAAAAAAAAAACATTTTATTGAATAGATGTTTCATCTCTTATCAGATAGATTTCAGTATATTAATATAAGGTTTTTAAAAGTCTTAGGTGCTTTGAAATAAGTCAGTTTGGGAAAGGAGCTCAAAATGTTTTATACTGTCACACTATGACAGGTGGTATATTATCAGGGATTTATCATTGAGAAAGACTTACATAAGAGGCACAAACAGAGGCATTTTTACAGTAAATCATTATCATGCCAGAGCTGATGGGAAGAAAAGACCTACAGGAGGTTTGCTAGGAAACATTTGGTAATGACAATGTTGGGGAACATTAGTGCTTGTTTACATTTTTATTTTTCTTGTGTATACTGTACTATGGAGAGATTGTTCTTGTCTCTGTTAAATTCAGTAACTTACCGTATTTAATACAGTATGTTAAGTGATGCATCATGTTATGGCTATTATTTGGGGTTTCTTTAAAAACAACTGAAGACTCAATACATGTGGTCATAATTGAGAATTTTTATTCCTAAAGGGTTTCTAAAATATAACATGTATTTGAAATGTGATAAAGGAAATGCAGGATTCCTCTTATTTTCCAAATGTGTGCTTGTGTTTACATCCATTGTTTATAACATGCAGATCTCAGTGCATACTGTAGGTAGTTGAGCCCAGGAGCAATCTGGAGCACAAGGTTGTTTCTTGTGTCGCTGCAATTAATACAAGTACAAAAATGAAATATTACTGTACGACACAGTGCTGTGAGATTGCAGCACCATTCAACATATGCAACATGCGCTCAGGAAAATTGCCTTTTGACCATAAGACTACACCGAAACACCAAAGCATAATCACAACAAATCAGGGTGTTTACTTTGTATCAGACAGCTGTGAGGAAGCCAAAGTCAAGATGAGGTGAGTGTGTTTGTTGATTGTCCTATAACTTTAGTTTGAATCAGTCTGACACACTTATGACACATTACACGACTTTTTCTAATGTTGTCGAAGTGATGCAGAAGTCTAAGGATGTCCTAAAATGTACACCTTACTGCCGTACAAATGTAATAATTAAATAAGCTTTCTTGGCATAAATGTGAATCAAATACATATCAAATTATTATATTTTGACAATAAAACTACAAAAATAGGTAAATTATCACAAGAAAACAAATAATTTAAACATAACAATCCACTAGACCATAATACAGTTGGTATATGGTAAATATTAAATGGCACTGCTGAATATTGTGGTGGCAATTTGTTTAATAAAGCATACAAAGTATGATCTTGTCTTTCTGTAAGGTTTTATTCAAGTCATCCATGAATGGTCTCAACACAACCGTCACACACTCTTGTATGTCCGAACATCCATGGATGATAGGAAAAAATCAATCAAGAGTTTTTTTTTTATCATTAGCAGTCATTTTGGTTATGTATGATAAACCTATGTGATATAATCATGAGTGTTTTTTACAAAGATAGGAAAAATAAGGAATATAAATGAGAAAAAATAAGATTTTACTTCATCCAAATCTTAAACAATCTGATCTATTCTAAAGATGTTGAGATTTTTTCTGGAATTTGCACATACTAGCAAAGATTTAACCACAGTGATAATTAGAGC